TGAGTGGATCGTACATTATTAGCTCTAAATGTGCTCACTTTTTATGGAATATCAACTGTATAAGGCAACAAATGTGTTTAACAATGTTTTTTTGTTGCTAGTAGTTGTAAAATTATTACAGCAACCACTTGATATAGAGGTCATTCACCATTAAAAACCATCACATACAGTTTTGTTGAGTAATGTTCATGATGACAAAATATCATTTAATGATGCTTTGTATTTGCTGATTAGATCATGATAGTATAAATTTCTGTTTTGTTTTTGAAGAAATTTATAATTTTTAAAAACAATGCACTTTGAAAGCAAGGGTTACATTGTAGTATGTCTATTATAGCTAACTTGGGAGCTCCACATTGTGAAATAGGTGAAAGTGGGGTTGATGTTATCCTAAAAATATTTGATAAGGGCTTATCATGGTATTTACAACACATGTTCAGTCCTCCATAATTATAACACAGTCCATGGAGTAATAAAGTATGCCACATTATATTGATATCATCTGATCATGAAATACATGATATATGTTCAGTCCTCCATTATTATAACACAGTCCATGTGAGTAATAAAGTATGCCACATTATAATGGTACCACCTTATAGTGAAGTACATGATACATATAATTTTTTCCAATTAATGAAATGAGATCCATAACCATTATAAAAGGAGCCATGTTATAATGTGCTGTTTGTACTGTGATCCTGGATGTGAGACAAAAAAAGATATTATTACTTGAAAATAATGGCTGGATATGTTCTCTTGCCAATTATTTTTGTACACTTTGTAACTCTAAGGGTACAAGTTTAACTCTAAGGGTACTGTGTCACTCTAAGAGTAAAAAGATACAAGTGTAGCTCTAAGGGTACAGTGTCACTCTAAGAGTAAAAAGATACAAGTGTAGCTCTAAGGGTACAGTGCCACTCTAAGAGTAAAAAGATACAAGTGTAGCTCTAAGGGTACAGTGTCACTATTGGGAGTCCAAGAATATTTGTCATCTTTAAAATAGTCCCCAGGCCTGTTATTCTTCTGACTTTTTAGCACCATACTCCAGTTATAGTATAAAACCCCAAAATCTGATCTAAAACTCCATTATACTCTAAAACTGATTTCCTTCCTTCATTTAGGTAATGCTAATTATGGATTGGGTGGTTCGAAAACAAACCAGATTTAATTTAAAGATGTAATCATTACAAACTACTGGACTTTCTTTGCTAAATATGTATCAATGAAAACATTTATTATAAAATCACTAAAAAAGGAGTTCACAGTATAAGATAATCTGGAAATAATGAAATTTGATTGTTGTAGGTATGCTTATTTTCTTTCTGTTTATTTGTGCAAGAATTTTAAAGTAAAATATATTAGCTCCTTGTCACATTGTGCACATTATATTTTTCCTGCAAAGATACGCCTGATCCCAAATGTGCCGAATATATGGTATCTTGTAACAGTAGCTAGCAGGAGCCAAAGGTAATCAAGCCCTGGATGTTCTTTTATCCTGACTTTATTTTTGTAAAGTTGCAGAGATATATGGGGTAGCTTGAGTTTGAGTTTTTGGCTCAGATGTTTCAGGAATATGGGTCCATTTGTATATAAAGTTCTCAGACCTGTCCAAAAATGTGAGAAATTTTTATCTGTGTTGACATATATTAATTTTTATGCAATTTATTCTTTAGGATGCTAGCTTCTATGAAGCTGGTGACATGAAGGATTGATTTTATGAGCGTACATGCTTGCATTTGTCGGTCTGTTTATCCAGTCAGCATTTATGTGATGGGATTGTAACTCAAATTTTAGATAGTTCCTACAAAAATCAAGAGTCTTTAAGTTTGTATGCAATAACTTTGTAAAAGTAGAAACTGGATTACTAATTATTATTCAGCATGGTCTTAACTTGGGAGTATTATGGTAGAGTTTTACTGATCAGTAAATGACAATAATTTAGAACCAACATTTCAGTAATTATAAAAGTCTAGTCAGATAAGTCAGTTCTTAAAACTATTGGTATGTTGGAGGTTTGGGGACTGAAGTATTGGGCTAATAAATGTCAGCTGAAGGCCGACTATTTATTTCTTAGAGTTACACTTTTAATCTGTTGAATCTTAACTTAGATAATCAGTGTTCATATCAATCTTTATGATCATCCAAATAAAGTAGTAAGTGGTTGTTTTGATTCCACCTATTTAAATGTTGAATGTAAATTCTGTTTTAAAGGGCATTTAAATCTAGTCTTTGCTTGGATGGAGAAATTGCAGATATCAGTTTTTGGAAAAGTAAGTACTGAAAGTATCAAGATTATTATATTATAATGAAACCAGAACTCTTCTACACATTTGTTCCAGGAAATGTAAATCCAATATTTACAGAATTATTGAGATTATCAAAGGTGGTGAACGAACACATGTTGCTTGAAAACATGGTGACCATGTTAATAAAAAAAAACTTGCATTTGATTCAAACTAAAAAAAATTAAAGTAGCTGTTGGTACAAAGCAAAAGTATACATATACACAGTGGGTGGAGGTGTTGGTGATGTAGAAAATGGCTGATATTAGAAGTACATACTAAATGGATAGCCCCACACCACTAATATTTATCCATGGACCAAAGTAGTGCATAAAATTTGTGTATTTTTGGTGTTCATGATGTAGTAGGAATTAACTGATTTAAACATATTTTGAATGAAATAAGTATGTTTTCATTGAAAGTTATTGTTTTACTTTGTGACTGCTTCCATATTGCAAAGGGACATAACTCTTTACCTCTGTAGATATTTTGATAGTGCTAGTAAAGTTGTTCAACAGCATGTGTGGAAATGGTTTGAGAAGGGTCAGTTGAAAAAGATTGAATTAATAAGACATCCTAGTAAGTCCATTGTTTCAAAAGAAGAAGTTTAAATTTGACCAACAAAACACATGCTCTTTTTGAGTGACTTTCCTGAGAAGATTTTGTATTATCTCACCAGGGGATGGTGAGATGTTGGTACAATTTTCAAGCAGCTGCAGCAATGCTGGTTTTAAGATTATGTGTGATGTTTTTGAAAGTATGTATCAACTACAAAAGTTTTTGCATTGATATGGCTAGGAGTTCCTTTCTTGCCATTGTTAGTAGGTAGAAATTTTTGGCATTTGTTTGTGATCAATGTTGTGTTTTTATATATATATATATATATATATATATATATATATATATATATATATATATATATATATATATATATATATATATATATAATCTGTGTGTGTGTGTGTAAGTCCACTTTACAGTTTTAAAGATATGGTTGATTAATTTCATGCACAACTATTGCTTTCCATGGCAAAGAACTTGCAGATATGATGATACCATATGCATCAGCAAAGTCAATGATTTACTTCATTAAATGCACCATTTCTTCAGATTTTACATTTAATAAATTGTTTCACCACAGGCAGTTAATTTTCCTTTTTAAGATGCAGTTTTAGGATAATTCTTTTTTTCTGAAGTCGGTGTACTGACATACAGTTTTCCTGTCTTGCATGCATAGAAAGAAAACTTCATTAAAATGTCATCCATAGATGAGATAGCACATCATTATCTTTGCTACAAAGATGGAACTTGAAGTATGTTTTATATGGTTGGTGAGAAAAATAGAGAAATCAACTTTGGGGAACCAAAATTCATGCTGGCTACAAGAATCTCAAGTTTTGTCGTCTTGATTGGTTTTCTTATGGAAACTGCTAGAGCCTTTTCAGAGCTTGTTGCTAATCTTGAGGCTATATTTCTAATCCCATTTTGATCACACTTGAAAGATATGCTGGTGTCAAGATTTTATACAAGTACAATAATGAATGAGAATCATGCATATTATGTAAGGTGTCTTGCATCAGATTGACAGAACTTGTTATGAGTCTGGAAGCCATATTTAATATCAGATTTTGATCCAACTTGGAATAAAGTCTTTTATGGTTAAGATCTCAAATATGGTCAGTAAAAAGCAGGAACCACAAATACTTATCAGGTGATCCTGCATCTGGTTGCCGGAGCTTGTTGCCACTGGAAGCCATATTTCTGATCTTTTTTTATAAAACTCGGAATCTGGGCTTACACTGCATGGATTTAATAATAAATAAGAGTCATATTAATAAAGTGATCTGACTGGCAGAACTTGTTACCACTAAAGAGAGATTCTGATAAAATTTAGTAAATAAACTTAAATCTTTAAAATCTCAGATGATCATAATTGTGCATATTAATGAGGTGATTTTGCATCTGATTGGCTGAGCTTTTGAAGACTTTAGTGGCTATTTGTAATCCTGTTCTTTTTATATATCAGATTTGGTCGATTGACTTGTATACATCATGATATCCAATGAGTTTAATCTGAGATGATCTTGCATCTAGGTGTCTTAGCTTCTCACCACTTGAGAAACTATTTCTTGCCAGATTTTAATCAAACTTGGTAAAAAGGCTAATATCAGAAGTTTGGATGAGTTTGATTATTGGCAAAATCTATGCATATTAATGAGGTAATCTTGTATCTAATTGATTGAACTTGATGAGACCAAATTTTTAATCATTGTCTTTGGTAGGTTCTATAATACATTAAATCTAAATTAATTTGATTATCGTACATCTGACTGGTGAAATTATTACCTCTCTAAAACTATTTTGCAACCAATTAAAAATAAAACTTTATGTCATAGTGATCCTGTATTTATTAATTTAATTATTAATTAATTAATAAAATTAATTTATTAAATTAATTTGTTTGGAAAGAACTTTTATCAGATGTGATGTGATTATGATTTTTACTGTAGCTTTAACAATTTTTCAGTCATATCGCTAAGATGTCTGCAGTGTGACAGTTTATAGTGATATCTAGCACTGGGGCATTATGCCACAGACATGTAGCACATGTAGTCACATTATCCTGACACCAGGCCGACCAGTCCTAAAAATAACCTCTTAATGCTGAGCACTAAGCAAGGAAGCTGTTAGTACCATTTTTGTACATCTTTGGTATGACTCGACCAGGAATTGAACCCACAACTTCCTGCATCTAAGGCAGATGCTCTAACCACTAGGCAACCGGAGCGGTTCATTTTTTATCAGATTTGAGAAAAGATTTTAAAATCAATATGATGACAAAAGTTTGGGAGATATTGATACATCAGTTCACTTAGTGAAAAGGATTATCTGTTAAATAAGTGAGGTGAATGATATCTTTCTTCGCTAGTCAAAGTTTTGAGGTGATAACCCTATCTATACCTTAGCATATATATTTCTGTACTTCAGGTCTGTTAATTTTATTGGATGCAGCAGCAAGCCAATGCATCCAATCAAAAGAAGGTTCAGATTTGAACACTGTTCCTACATGATCTAGACAATGGGAGCACAGTCGTACATCTTGAATTCATTGATTAATAAGCAATTTTCCAGTGCTGGTCCGTGTTTACACAAATACCTTTCACTCAAATACACCCGTAATGGCTTCCCTCTGTTACATAATCATCCTTCCAAAGTATCCTTTTTAGGTCAATTTCCCCCACTACCTGGTTGATGTACAATGCACCATGCTATTGGTTAGTTGGCATTGCATAATAAGGTAAGAAGCTCATACAATCAAATAGATATGGTTAGGACAATGCACCAATAAATCTGTTAGATATACCAAGGTGTAGATAGGGTTATCATATCAGAATCTTTGCTAGCAAAGATGAATGATATCATGGGACTCTCGTTTTGTATAAACAATCAAGCCTTCTCACCACACCACAAATATAAATATCAATAAAAGCATTATGAAATGGAAAAACTGACTGTATCATAATCTTTACCATGTAATTTTATGTCTCGCCCAACACCATCTATCCCCAGACTGTACAAATATTAACAATTTAAGTATTCAAACCCATTATTATAATAAAAATCATTGTAATAATGGAAGCTCAGCTGTACATATGACCAGGACACAAAACCATTGAGTTGATATTTTCAGTTGTGTATATTGTAAGTACTGGTACATTTTTCTGATTATGTACTTAGTGATATTGATGTACAAAAAAAGATGCCTTGATTGATGGCAAAGCTATAATAATTTGTTGTTTGATATCATTTACAGATACCTTTGCACATAATGTACAGTTGTGTAAATATGGTTTGAAGGAGTTGGAATTAAATTTCCAGTTACAAAAATCAGATTTGCTGTTTTTATTTTGAATAAGATTAGTTTGGTACAAATAAATGGGTAATGGCAAGCAATATTTTACATTGTTTACACCAAGTTATAAATAGCTTAAATACAGATAGATGCCAGGGCAGTTAAGTTATGCAACAAAGAAATTCAATCTGTTAAGCCAGCTGGATGACAGCTTCTGTGTAGAGAAAAGAATATTGGCCATAGCATTTTCTGGACCTACATTCGTTTGAAATGTGCTTTCAATTTTCCAAAATGTTCCAAAATTTTGCACCAAAGAGTCTGGTGCTAATTTCAGTAATGAGTGTTCCAAACTGGGACTGTTAAAGGACTGAAAGCCTTTCACTGATGGCAGGAATTTTTAACTGGAAAGGAAGTCCTCATTCTGTCCAACAGCACTAAGGTGGTAACTTCTCTCAAACTGCAAGGAGGAACCAACTCTCCAGACCTTATCATACTCGTGTGTGACTTTCTAAATCCACATCCTAGTTCATAATATTCCTGGATGTCTGCAGACTGATTTTAACAGGTGTAACAAAAATCAAATAGGATTGAATCCAAAAGAGGAATGAATCTGATTGCTCAGTTCTCCTGTAAGAGTCTGTTATGACTGTACCTCACAATATACAAAACATGATAGATCTTACTGTTCAATCTAATATTTAAAAGTACCTATTCATGTGATTTAGCCCATCCAATGGGAATTACCAAATTCTTCTAAGAGTCCACCTGATCTACTTGTCCAATGGGAAACAACCCCAAGCTAGTATACAGGTCTTTTAATATTATTTTGTTATTAATAATCAAATGGCTGTAAACACCTATGTCATCAACTATTTATAGATCTTATGCAATCTACATTCTTCAAATCTTAAAATAGAATTTTATACAATGTACAAAATTAAACTAATATCCTGACTATAGATGATTACAATTTCTAGTCATGAATAAAAACTACACATAATATAGACACAGTAATGTACCAACAATTACAAAAGAATATAGATATCCATAACAATCACTAAACAACAACTTGCAATCAAATAAATTAGAGAACCTCATTCAACAGTTGTCTACTTGAGGATTTCAATGCTCATATTTTATATGGAAAAAAGCACATCAGTGATAGATGAAAAATATGGAAGATTTCATTTCCAGACATAATTTGTGTGTAAAACTCCAAGTTGCCAACATATTTACATCTGGGAACCAGTGCATATATCTGTAAAAATTTAACAATTTGTTCTCCACTGCTGCTTTTGTATTACAATTGGAAGGTTGCTGATGATCTTCACAGGAATGACTACTTCCCAATCTCTCTAAAGAACATTTACTCTACCACTGATAACAGTACCATCAATGAGCCAATTCCACACTGGAAATTAAAGTACTGACTGTGCCAAGTTTTAAAACTAGACAACAGAGATATCTTTTGAAACATCAATGATCCTGTTCAACATTTTACATCTATTTTACTTGAAATTGCAGAATTCATTCCTAAGTTCTCATCTAACTATAAAAAAACCCCAAACCATGGTTCACTAAAGACTTTAGAAGCCATTAGGCAAGACTAAGAAACATTCACAAAATTTAAGTCATCCGATGTTTGAAAATATAAAAAGGTCCAAAATATAGCTAACTGCAAAAGAACGGAATGTAAGAAAGCATAAATATATATTAACAAGTGTTTGGCTCCTGGTGTGAATTGCTCCCTGTATGTTCATTCTTTCCTAATATTTTATCAAATGAAACACATGCATACAACTGAAATACAATGTTGTTGTTGGGTTTAATGCTCTTTTTCAGCACACAATAGGCTATACATAGTGGCCAGTATTAATGGTGGATGAAGAACCCAGAAAGAACCACCAACACAAGAAAAGCTACTAACAAGCTTTCTCACATACACACATTGGCCGAATCAGAGACTCGAATCCACGCAGACAGATGTTAGATGGCAGTGATCTGTCACAGTGAGTGCTTTAGACCACTCGGCCATTTGGAGCTCCTTGATATACAATTGCAACAATATATATTAACAAGATTTAATAGTGGGCCATGCATTTCTACAAAGACAACATGATCATCCTAAATACTGGATGGAAAACCTATACTGATTGTTTGAGAACACAAAATTTTTATGTAGTTTTTTTCAACAGAAAACTCCATTCTAAAACATTAAGAAATTGAAAGCTAAATGCTTGAAATCCCTCGATATACTCAAATCAGCACACAGACTAGGTGCTGATAGAAATATTCTTAACCTATATAGAACCTTATTAGTTTCCAACTGGACTATGGGGTTCAAACCATTGCCAGTCATACCAAAGACTTTTAAAAATGGTACTAACAGCTACCTCACTTAGTGCTCAGAATTAAGAGGTTAGTGTTAGGACTGGTTGGCCTTTGTGTCAGGATAATGTGACTGGGTGGGACATCTTGCTACATGTCTGTGGCATGATGCTCCAGTGCTAGACATCACTATAAACTGCCACAATGCAGACATCATAGCAATAATGACTGAAAAACTGTTAAAGCTACATTAAAAATCCAAATCACACACACACCCCAACTGGACTGGTGGTTTACAGTTCATAAGTCATTTAAAAATGCTAGACCAAATTCACCATTAAGCAATATGACTGGTTTAAGGAGCATTTAGGACATCCACCTTTGAAAGCATTTTTGATTGAAGCAAACAAGTCATCTATCACAATGCAGAAGAACATTTTCTTTCCAATAAACATATGATCTGATGCTTTTGCATGTTTCCTCTGAGTATTTTAACCAATATTTGTACTGTTAATCACCTTAGTTCATCTTTTGTTATACATTTACCCTTTAAACATACCTTTTACATCCACATTAATCAGGTACCTTCAAATGTTTATATCATATTGTTGTGTTTTTATATTTTTATCGCATGTTGGTAATAAACCTTTGACAACTTTTTGAATCATAACAATTTTTCTGGTTGTTATATAGCCATACAGTTCTTATGTGCCATAAAATCCACAATCAACTGACCAACCAAAATTACAATTTGAAAAAATATTTTCTGCACAATAACATTAGATCTACATCACAGATCTGAATCAAACCTGTAACTAGTTGTTAGGGTCCAAAGGTCAAGATTCAAGGTCATTATGCAAGAATAAAAATGGTTTCTGCCAAATTTCAGTTTATATACATGAGGACTATTAAACATAAAAATATGTCATTCATAGTACTCTACCATTTTGTATCATCACTCTGAATGAATGCATCTTTGATTAACTTACAATACAGTGAGATGCACATCTCTTAGCAAAAGTATGCCCAAGAAAATTAATTTGACAAATGTTGATTATGACAGTTTCTTTCCTCTCATACTAAGTGGGGATTTTACAATTACTGACCAGCAGACTGGAAAGTCTATTAAATGAAAATGGGTTTTATAACTAATAGGGCATAACAAACTTCTGATCCAGAAATCAGATTCCACCGGATAGTATGAACTTCCAATTAATCGGAGTCAAACAAGGCAGGAACGACTGATTCGGATAATAAAAATAATAAAGTTGAATTTCTATAAAACAGTGTCTAACACTGTGTCATTTGATAGTGCGTTTATAAAGTTAAAGAAGTCAGAAAAGACCAATATGGTCAACAGAACAGGGCAAAAAGATAATATTTGAGGTAGACCGAAAGATTTATTAAAATATTTTAATGCGCATGGGATTGACACATACTTTAATAGATAATAAAGAACTTTAATAATCAAAATTTATAACTTCCAAATACTTTCAAGGAAATAGTAGCATCTCCATTTTTTTCAGCGGACATGTCAATCGGTTGTTGCTGCAAATAGCACCTGCGGTGCTAAAACTTCTTTCATTATCGATGCTATAGAGCCGTAT